ATTTTTGTTCTTGTGCCCACCTGCCTCCTTCCCTGGAGCCAACTTTCATCCGGAGGGAGGCAGAAGTGGGGTCAGTTCTGGGACATCTGGATTCCCAGAACTGAAAACGGTGCTGGGTGGGTAGAAGGCGTTCGGAGCACGAAGAAATCTTTCTGAACCTGTTTCCTCACCTGTAAAATGGGGGCGTTAATACCCCGCAGGCTTTAGGGTTCCAAGGGGGATTTAAAGGTGGGGACTCAGGAGGCGCCAAGGGCCCTGCCTGGCCGGGACCTAAATGGCGGCGGTCGTGACATGGTCAAGTCGTCAGCGTCGCTACCGTCACCGCTGGCGAGTTCCACGCCCCAAGCCCCGAGCGCAGGCCGGGCTGCGGGGCAGAAGGCGCCCTCCGGGGCAGGGCCTCCGCCCGCCGGCCCGGCGACCCGCCGCGGGCCCCGCTCCTTCCCAGGCGCCCCCGCGCCGCCGGCTCTTTGAAGTCCCAATCCGGCAAATAGAGTCAATCAATTATGAAGGGAACAATCTGGCGGCCCCTCGGGGAGCGGCGGCCGAGCGATCCCGGGGGATTAGGCCGCAAATCGCGCTGAGCCTCCCTAAGTGACAGCGAGAGAATCGCGCGCCGCGGCGGCGGCGGGAGCGGGAGGGAGCGCGGCCGCTAACCCGATTATGCAGATCCGCAGGGGGCGCGGATTAGGCCGCGGGGGCGGCTGCGCCCTAAGCGGCTCGGGGATTTGGGAAAAGTTTACTCGGGCGGAGGGGGCGGGGACTTCCCCGGGCGGGCGGCCGCGCCGCTCCCAGCCGGGTGAGTGGCCCGCGGGCCGGGGGAGAAGCCTGAGGAGAAGCCTGAGGTGGGGCGGGCGCCCGGGCGGCGGCGACGCAGGCGCAGCCACACGTTGCCAGGCACAGCGCGAGCTCTGTTTCTCTGTCTCTGTTTCTCACTCACTATCACTCACTCACTCACTCGCTCACACTCACCCTCCTCAACTGCAGTCACACACAAGCCAGGCCCACGATTCCACACACACTCCACACAGCACTGGTCTTGGCCCCACAAACATGCACATCCTCACAAACACATCATTCCAGCAGACAGCCCAATGGCACAGTGTCCCGGGAAGACCTAAGGTCGGGTGCACGGTCCTCCTGGCCCCTCTCCTCTGGAAGGACTAGTGGGTGTCAGCGTCTGTGAGCCTGTGTGTTTTGCGTGTGAGCCTGTCAGGATGGTCCATATCCGGAGTCTGGGCCTGCTTTGGGTTTCAGCGATGATGCCTTCTCACCACAGGTGGGACCCACTGAGACTGGGCACCGGGCTGGGAAACAGGCTGAGTCTCCTTGGGCACTCTGGCTGTGGGGGAGGTCCTGATGCAGGGTTGGAGGCCCAAGATGTTCCTCATCAGGTAGTGTGAGGCTGCTCTTCCCCTGGGTACATACAGTCAAGGAGGAGACTGGGGAGATGGCTTCTTCAGAGCCATCTGGGGAGAGGGCGCAGAACCCAGCTCCAAGCCAACCCAAGGCTGGATTTCATCTGTAAAATGTTCAGTGTGTATCCATGGAACAAATGTGTGTTCGTGCGCCATATTTGTTTGTCGTGTGTTTGTCATGTGTCCGTTGTTATATACATGATAGACTTCGTGTGTCCTTTGTAGTATATATGCTTAGACAGGGTGTGTTTGTGGTCACTGGTGAATGTATCCCTGGCCTCACACCTCTCCACAACCATCACAGCCATGCATAGTAACTGTGGACACATGCTGACCGCACCTCAGACACTCATCCTGTACACACAAAATGACCCCACACACCCCCTTAACACTCACACTCTAACACTCTCTCACATATGCATATACATACATATATGCACAGACAGGCCCAGTCCTCTGAGAGAGGCCAATCCTTTGCATGGACCATGGACACTAAATGAAGTCATCTCCTCAGTCTGCACAGATGCTGCCAGGGTGGCAGAGGACAACTGCTGTGGTGTGGAGGGCACCCCACCCCATGCCCCAGGCAGTGGTCGAATGACCTTGTGGCTGACTCACTCAATGGGGAAGAGGGTCATGGTTAGCGAGTCTTTAAGCAGAGCACTGTCTGCTGTCCCTTGCTCCTGTGCTGTGTGCTCATGCGTGTCTCCTGTGTCCCCCCAACACTGACTAGGAAGAGTGTATGTGTATGGTGTTATCCTCAGAATCCACTTTGAGGAGGTTGGGCTGATTCTTGGGGGTTCTATGGTAGGGTCAGGATGTGCTCTGGTATTTCAGGCTGTTGAGGGTGTTGTGGGGATAGTCCCCTCCCTGCAGAGTCATAGCCAAGCCTTATCCTATCTGGGCCTGCTGTTCTCATTGACCTTTCCTGCTCCTGAATCCCTTTGGAGGAGAAACTGGAGGTGTCAGACCCTCAAGAAGAAATTCTCCTAGGCATATCTGACCTACTGGACAGGACCCTTTAGTTGATCTGGCCCCTCACCCCCATCAAGGCACCTGCCTGCCCTCCCTCCCCTCCCCATGAGGCAATCAGGCCTGATTTCAGGCTCAGGAAGGATTTCTCTGGCTGCCAATGGGGCAGATCTGATTACTCAGCTGGAGAGAGGGCTCAGTTACAATGAATCAGCAAGCAAGCTGTGGGAAGCGGCCCCCTAGGCAGTTGCCCACTTTAGGGGTACATAGTGGGAGACTTGTGGGACTAGATGGGAAAAAGCACCCCCTACACACACCCAGGAAACTTCCAGGTGGGGGCTCAAGGGCATCGCAGTGGTTCTTAGCTGGGCCGGGCCCTCCTTCCAGGATTTGTTCTGGTCTAAATCTTGCTGTATTACTTACTGGATGTGGATCCTTGGGCAAGATATTAAGCCTCAGTCCCCATCTTTAAAATGGGCATCAAATAATACCTTCCTTACAGGATTTTAAAATTTATTTTTTTCTCCTTACAACTGGCAGATAGTCACTCAAACTTCTATTATGGTTAATGTTGTTATTATTAGTTCAGAAGAGGCAGACTGCAGAGAGTCCAACCGTCAATGATATCTTTACACCTTCCCCCCAAAGGAGGGCAGCTGGCGAGAAGGAGACCCTTGGATCCACCAAAATCCCCCTCCCTGATCGTGCTTATCACTTAGGAGAGCAGAGAGACTTGATTCAGTCTGTGTCCTCTGCCCTGGGGAGAGAGGAGCCAGAACCCCAACCCTCCAGCAACCAAGTACTGGTGTGTGAGGAGAGGTGGGGGGGAGGGGAGAGGCTGAATCTGAAGCGGTGCAGAGGCTCAGTTGTTTCAGGCCAAAAGCCATTATCTTCCTGGAGAGAGGCGCCCGGGACCCATCTGAGGCTGAGGGCGGGGGAGAGGGGAGAGGGGAGACTCCGGTCTGGCTGGGCCTCCCTGCCTTCCCCCTTCCCCTTCCTGGAGCAGGTGAGGAAGCACACACAGCCACTCCTCCAGTATTTAGTCATGTTCCCTGCTGGCCCTGGGCTGGGGGAAGGGGACTGCGTGGGGGGCTTGGGGGTGTGGAGGTGGGCGGATTGCAAAGGGAAAGGGGTCCTGCCCACAGCACCTCCATAATTGATGGCACCTACTGTGTGCTAGGCCCTAAGCATCTCCTGTTTACTTTGTACCCTCGACACAGCTGGAAACCAGCAGGGCTCTTTTCAAGAAAGTCATCCAATTATCTAGCCTGGGGGGGCTGACTTGGTGGTTGCATCGGAGGACAGAGGATTTCCATAGTGGGAATTGTCTGAGTGACTGACTGGAGGGCTGGAAGGAATGGAGCTGGAAACAGGGTAGGGATGGGGGTGGGGCGGGGCGGGTGGTGTCCCAAACCTGCCTGCTGGGTTTGCACAGCAAGTGTACTGTCTTACGAAGACTGCCTGCCTATTTGGGTGGCTCAGGATTGCTGTAGATTGAGAAGGTATCTCAAGCCCCACAAATCACCCTGTGCCACCATCACAGGGTTCAAGCCCAGGGAGAGCATTCATGTATCAAATTCCAGATCCAGAATCCATTCAAGCTGAAGGTGACAATCTTTTTGAGTCACCCCCAAGGTGGGTAAAGGGGGACAGAGATGAGCTAGAATCCTGGACTTGGGCAAGAATTTCTCCAGGAAGGAGGCTGTGTCCAGCAGATTCTTTTCTAGGCTGCATGCGGAGCATCCCAGAAGGGCTTCTCTTGCCTCTTTATTAAGAGCCTTCCCTACCTGAGCCAGGTGCTGGGGCCCTTCTGCGTTGGGCCATGGAGGGAGCCCTCTTCCACCTCTGCGCTTCCAGCTCCTCTCCCCTGCCTCTGCGGTGCTTGGTCTCTTCATCTCCGATTCCACACCTCGGGCTCTCCCCATCCCTGTCTCTGTCTCTATCTGATTCTGTACCTCTACCTGTCACTCTCAGGCTCTCTCTCTCTTGGGCTCTGATTCTCTGTCCCCGAATCCAGGTGTTTCTCAGTCTGTATCTTTGTCTCCAAATCGGCTTTTCTCAGTAGAAATAAGCCTGAAGAAGCTTCTCTGTGTCTGTGTCCTTGTGCTCAGGTTTGAAGGCCGTGGTAGCTCAATAACTGAATTTGGGGAGGGGACGTTGGCCAGGATGCTGAGGGGCACAGTGTACTGGATGGTCACTGGCCCCTCTGGGGGGATTTGCATCCAGAGTCTGCACTTGGATCTGCTGTGTAGGCCAGACCAGGAACACTGGGAAAGCTTTCATAGGCTTATCCCCCCACCCCCTGCTTTAGGTAGGGCTTTGTTGCTATTCAGAGAGGGAGACAAGTGCTCCATCTCCTCCCATCTCTTTTCTTCCATTTTCTATGCCACGAGAAGTAGTAGATATGGATTTTGGAGTTAAACAAACCCAGGCTCAAGTTCTGAACTGACTATGATCAGATAAGTAGTTATTTGATCTCTCCCAGTCAGGGACACCCTCCTCATCTGTTGAATAGGGATAGGAACAGTCTCTATTGCTCTGTATTGTAGTGAAGATAAAATGAGATAATGATTGTAAAGTGGTTAGCACAGAGCCCTACTCAAGGACTGGAAGTAATTTTTATTGTATTTTCCCATTTATTTGTTTACAGCGCCCAACACAGGTCTAGGCCCACAAGAATTTTATTGAATGGATCTAGATTTCTCTGTTGTTCATTTCCTTTCTTCCTTCTGGTTCCATTTCCTTCTCTCCTTATCTCTGTGTTTGGAGAGGATGGGTTATAAGAGCCTCTTGAACACCCTTTATGTACTCAGCCCTGATCCTGGCTCTGCAAATGGTAGCAGGCTCTGTAAACCATAATGAGATCTAAATGTGCAGTTTGGCTCCACAAATAGGGACCATCTTTGAAAATAGTCACATACTCTGCAAATTATCATGGGATCAGTGACAGGTTCAGAAATCAGTAATGGGATATGCTCTGCAGATGGTAATGGGCTCTGCAAACAGATGAGCTTGGCATATAATCTAAGACTCTGCAAATAATAATGAGCCTTGTAAATAGGGACAGGCTCTGCAAATGGTAATGGGCTTTGTAAACAGTGATAGGAGTGGCAAGTGGTGATGGACTCTGGAAAAATTGAAGAAGAGTTCTTACCTGTAAAGGACAAGAGGGGAACTGCGGGTCCTGAATGAGCAAGCCTATCTCAGTACCATGGACAGCAAGATCCTTCCTTCTCTTCAAGGCCCAAGCAGAGTTCATCTGTCCATTTACGCATTGATGTTGGCCTTGTCAGGAGGAGGTGGGGTGGAAGAGACCCTAGGAAAGAAGTGGGACAAGGTGAGGGACGAGGCTGTGTCCCTGCCCTCAAGACTTTTAGTAGGTTGAGAAGACTTCTAAGTAACCAAGTGGGGGATTTTGTCTGTGTTGACAAATCTGTTCTCAGGCAGCTATTTGTGAGTTAGAAGGTGTCTTTCCACATCAGAGGCTCTCAGAATGCTAAAAGGGTGTTTAAACCACACCAGGCCTCCGAGGGGAACTGAGAAGTCAGCTTTTCAAAGCACGTATTACAGGCTCCAGCCGACCTTAAATTCTAGCTGGCACCTGAGAGCTCTGTAGCAATTTAAATTTTTCTGTCCTTCCTTTCCAGATCTGACCACATTAACAGGTCTGTATCAAGGGGAAACACTCATACCTCTCAGAAAACAGGGCCTGCCAAAGGAAGATGCAAGAATCTATTTGGGGAGGTCCTAAGAAACAGTGCTCAGGATCTGATGGTGGCTGAGCTTCACAGGGGGATGGTAATAGGATGTGCAGGTGTCTGGTGTTGATGTGCTAATGGAGGTGGGGAGGGAGCCTGGCATCCATAATGGTGGAGATAATGGGGAATGATAGCAACCTTCAACAGGTGGCAATACTTAGGGCAAAAAGTAGGGTAGGCCCTGATGGGAAATAACTTGGCATAGTAGTTTAAAATTTGGTTTGGGTTTGATTCTGGTTCTGGTATTTGCTAGGTTTGCAATCTTAGATTAATTATTTAACTTTTCTGTGCTTCAGTCTCCTCATCTGTAAAGTAGGGGTGCTAATAGCCCCTCCCTTATAGGGTTGTCATGGGGATTAAATGAGTCAATATATGTAAAATACTTAGAACAGTGCCAGGCACATGGTGAACATTATGGAAGTGATAGCTGTTGTTCCTATTTTCTTAAAGATTTATTTATTTATGCATTCAAGAACTGGGGTGCAGGCCAGAGAGGGGGGGGAGGTGGTGGTGGTGAGAGGATTCACCAGAGACAGAGTGGGGTACAGAATAGGCAGACTGACTGAAATACACTGCTGAGGGGAGCAGCAGGAGAGACAGGAGAGGTCTGCTGAACCATGTGGGTCACCTCCCTGGCTGGAATCGAACTCATGCTGCAGTGGCTGGTGATAGCTTGATAGCTCTGTGTCTTTAACCCCTGCGCCACCAGGAAGGCCCTGTTGTTACTATTAAGGAAGGCAGTGGAGGTGGTGATGATGAGGGTGATGAAATTGATAGTGAGAACAGGGGTAATATTAGCAATGATCCGATTTATGGAGTCCTATGTGCCCTGTACTATCCTAACACTTTCTGTGTAGCAACTTATTTTATTATAATAATCCTATGAGGTTGCTAATATATCCTGAATTTAAAGATGATGAGACTTAGGCAGAGGGATTGAAATACATGATGAAAAGTAACACGGATAGTAATTGGAGGAGCTCCAGAGCCTGTCGCCTGAAGATGCTTGCTGAGATGGTGAGGATGAGGGGGACAGAGAAGTGATGTGCGGTGAATGGTCCAGAGGGGCCCTGGGCTGCGGTGGTGGTCCAGGAGGAGGCTGCTGAAGGGAGGCTCCACCAGGTTTCCCTGGGCAGGGGGTGAGGGGGTTATGGCCTTCTGTAAGGTTCTGCTCTGAATGCAGGCAGAAGAACAAGGACCACCATTTCTGTGCCGCGAGGGGTGGGTGGGGGGGAGGCGGCTTAGGGTCCCAGGCAGTGAAGAGGGATAGAAACAGGCAGACTCAGGCCTCTCTGGTGGCGCAAGGGGTTAAGGCACAACCTATGAAGCTATCCGCAGCCACTGCAGCACGAGTTTGATTCCAGCCAGGGAGCTACCCACATAGCGCGGCAGACCTCTCCTCTCTCGCCCGCTGCTCCCCTCAGCAGTGTATTTCAGTCAGTCTGCCTGTTCTGCTCCCCACTCTGTCCCTGGTGAATCCTCTCATCCCCCATGCCTCTGACTTGTACCCCCAGTTCTTGTATGTATAGACAAATAAATGAAGAAGAAGAAGAAGGAGAAGGAGAAGGAGAAGGAGAAGGAGAAGGAGAAGGAGAAGGAGAAGGAGAAGGAGAAGGAGAAGGAGAAGGAGAAGGAGAAGGAGAAGGAGAAGGAGAGAAGGAGAAGGAGAAGGAGAAGGAGAAGGAGAAGAAGAAGAAGAAGAAGAAGAAGAAGAAGAAGAAGAAGAAGAAGAAGAAGAAGAAGAAGAAGAAGAAGAAGAAGAAGAAGAAGAAGAAGAAAGAAGAAGAAGAAGAAGAAGAAGAAGAAGAAGAAAAAGAAACAGGCAGACTCTTGGGGGAGTGTGTGGCAAAAGCATGGGCTGGGGCTTCCCAATGACCCTCCACTCTGTTCCCGGTGGGTGGCATCCTCTGACCCCGTAACTACCCGTCTGCCCGGCCAGTACCCGGTCTGCAGAAGGAGCCCACGGAGCAGAGGCATAAGGAGCCCACGGAGCAGAGGCAGGCCGCCCGGGCGTGGCGTGACCCAGCGCGGGCGGGACTCTGCGGGCCGCGCTCGCCCAGCGCCGGCTCCTCCTGCCTCCCGCTCGCTGCCGCGCTGCTGAGGGGGAAGCCTTAATAGAGAATCCGCCTCTGCGCCGCCGCTCCCCGCCCGCCAGCCCGTCCCTATTATCAGCACCATCAACGGCGGCAAATGACACTCTCGGAATCTTGACTCCAATCTGATGCCTGGTCCCCGGGGCCGCGGAGAGGCGCAGGCCGGCCAGGCTGGGGGGCTGGGGAGGGGCTGTGCAGTAATAGGATGTGGCCGAGGACGGTCTATTAGCAGCGCTGCAACCGCTGATGAACCCCCCCCCCCACTTAGCGTCCCCATCCCCGCTCAGCCAGGCACAGCAAGAGGCCACTGGGGGTGGGAGCGGGGAGAGAGGGGAAGGCTGTGGGGGTTGGGCTGGGCCATCTTTAAGCCTGGACTCCGGGCCCCCTGGGGGAACCTGAGGAGGCAGGCGGGAAGTTAGAGAAAAGAGGCCACTCAGATATTCCCTTCTGACCCTGTACCTGGAGAGAAAGAGGAGTGGGGAGTTGGTCTGAGGTCCCGCCACCTTTCCCATGCCTACCTGGGAGCATTCTGGGGCTCCATGCCCAAAGAGCGAGTCATCCCAACTCCCTTCTGTAGCCTCTTCTTGAACCCCCTTAGCTATGGGAAACTCAGCACCTCCCTGGCCACCTCATTTCTCACTGCCTCCTCATTTGGGGTCCTGATTAAGCTTTCTTGGTATCAGGGTCCTGAGAGACCGTAGGGGAATGCGCCCCACAACCAAGACAATCTCATAGGATCTAGAGACAGAAGGCAAGTCTCGAATCTGCTCCTCTGGGTCCTCACTTCTCAAGGCCACCAATCTTCTTGTTTTCAGGTAATGTGTGTATGTGGAGGTTTAAGAGGCTGGGGCAGCTGGACAGACCCATCACTGGCCTCAGTGAGCGAGGAAAGGGAGAGGGTGCAGAGGCCTGGGTAGTGCAGGACACTCAGATCCTAACCCAGATTGTCTGCTGGTGACACGGGACAGTTACACATTGTCCACCTTAGCCTGCTTCCTCCTGCCGCCCTCTCCCCACCAAGGACTCTTGCTGAGAAAGGGAGGTAAGAAGCCAGCTTTCTCCCTCTGGGGGCTTGGCAGGTAAATGCTTTGGGAGGCAGAATGTAAGTATGGTCTAATCTCCCCCCTCCCCCCAGTGTACAGCAGCAAGGGATGCTGAAATGATACTAGGAGTAGAAAGAACGCTGGCCCTTTCCTTCTCTGAGCCTGATCATGCCGGGGTGCACCTTAGAGGGGCAGCAGGGAGGATCTGGCTGGCTAGGAGCCTGAACACTGGACTCCCCCTAGCAAGAGAGGACTCCCTTCTGGGTTTCACAACAGGTGAGAAGTGCTGGGCTGCCTGAGCAAGGACGTCTACGCCAGTCAGATATGGAGGAGAAAGGAGGAAAGTGGAGAACAGGGAGGGAAGAGGAGGAGAGGAGGCCAAGACTTGGCTCACAACCACCCCCAATCCCCCTCCCCACCTCCCCCCAGATCTGGGCCTCTGACCACAGCGCTGAACTCAATCTGTTCTGCCCGCTGCCCCCACCATGGCCCATAGTCCAGAGGCCACAGACATCCAGGCTGTTTGCCACTGCTGAGTGCCTGTTCTCTGTGCCCCCAGCAGGGGCCTGGCCATCAGTCACAGGGCTGGCTGGACACGCAGGGCTGGCCGTGGACCAGCAGGTGGCAGACAGCAGGCGGCATCCACTCCTGCTCATGACGCTCTTGGTGGCTTCTGTTTACTCTGCACCTTCCCTGCCTCCTTTGCTCTTCCCACAGGCACACCTGTGTCCTTACCCGTGTACATTTCTCTTTCCCCCTCACCTGTGCCCACTTCACTGTCCTATTCACTCTACCTCTCACCTGTGCCCTGACCTGTCTCCTCTCCCTGCACCAGATTCCTTTCCTCTGGGTCCTGCTCTGCAGCCTCGGGGTAGGTCTTCTCTTCATTTAACCAGTCTCTTCCCTCTCCGTCTCTTGGGGGCTAAAAAGCCAAGATTCAGCTCCTGAAACTCCATCTCCCCAACAACTACTCCATTCTCAGCCAGCCGTCTCCCTTTCCAGCCAGCTGCCAGTGAGAGAATTGGGATTCCAAAGCTGGATAGGTTCTTTGGTCCAACCAGGGGCGTCTGGGGCCGGGAGGCGAGAGGAAGGGGCCTCCTGTGGTTAGAGGATAAAGGATCCTGGCTGGGGTAACCTGGGGAGAAGGCGCAGTTCTAGAGGTCAGACAGCAGGGGGCGCACAATCCTTGCTCTCTGCTGGGAAGCCAGCGCCATCCTTACCCTTTGGCGGGAATAACGCATAGGAACAAGGGTTGAACACGCCGCGGGTGGGGACCCACGGGAGGAGGCAAGCACTGTCTCAGTCTGAAGTTGGCCTTGTGCGTTAGCTTTTTAAAGAAACACTAACTTGTTCCCCAGAATAACTTCTCCATGTTAAAGGCTGCAGTGGAGAAATGAACTTGGAGCTTTACCACTCTGGGGGAGAGGAAGGAAGAGGCACCTCCACTCACTCAAGCCTCCCAGATGCCGGCGCGCCAGTCACTGGCCCCGTTTGGGAGAGTTAGAGAGTAGGAGCCACCTCTCTAGCCCCGCTAAGGGCGCTCCTTTCTTCTCTATGGGCAGTGTCCCCCTTCAAATGGACTTTAACCCCTGTACCAGCTGGGGGGTGGGGGAAGCAGGCATGCATCCCTGCAGATCTGTGTTCAGTGTCTCAGAGGAGAGGGGTGGGGCTGCTTGAGGTGTCTTTCCCTGTGTGACAGCGTGACTATGTGACTATGGGCGCACTGATTAATAATGCATGCATGTGTGGGTACAGGGGTGTGTGTGTGTGTGTGAGAAATAGAGAGAGAGAGAGAGAGAGAGAGAGAGAGAGAGCAGCCACAGGTTTGTTCATTAGTGAAACCTGAGAGGTGCTGCACTGTCCCCTCCCCACCCAACAATCCTGGAAGGGGCTGAGCTTGGATGTGAGGTCAATGCCAGTATGTGTGACATTGACTTCAACTCAGTGCCTGCACCACCACCCTCTTTATCCTCAGCACCTAAAATCTCCCTGCTCCAGACTTGAGTAATATAATAATTATGGCTCTGATGGGACAGCATGAGGGGCTCAGAAGTGGCTTAGAAACATCCAGGCATCTGGAGAACCAGGGGCAGGGGCATCGTCCTGAAGAAGGCTGGGCTTGATGGGGAGGGGTCTTTCAAAGAGCCCTGCAACCTGGCCAGTGGGAGGGATGACCTGGTGCAGTCATTTCAGGGCTCATAAACACCTTTCTGGGCCTCCCATTATCCTGGGAACTGGAGCTGAGATCCTCAGTATAACACCCCCATGCCCCAAGAAGGCCATGGGAGGTTGGTAAATATCGTAATCAGATTAGTGGAGTGGAGACAGCAGAGGCTATGGTGGGAAAATGCTCTGGGCTGGCCTGGCCCCCACCCTTCTCCTGGGAATCCAGCCCTCTTGCCTTGCCCAATCACTCCCCTGTGGGCCCCAAGGCCATCCTGGCTCCTCAGTCAGTGGCCTCTGCTGGCCTGGGTGACCCCCATGTACCTGACTGTCTTTGGGTCTGGTGTAGATTTCTGCAGCCAGGGTCTCCTCAGCTGCGGGGTGGGGGGAGCAGACATGCCCTCCCTCCAAAGCTAGCCCTCTGCTTTTCTCAGATCACTGTGCTCAACAGGCGCCCTCCGCCCTCCTTTCCTCTGGCCCTGATGATGTGCTCACCTGGGCCACTGGAATGAAGAGCCTCGGGATGCAGGGTGATTGTGGTTGAAGGGAGTGTCTGGTGGGAGGCACAGGCTTAATCAGGGTTGAGTGGGGCTCATTTCCCCCCTCAAGCTTCTTGCTGGCGCACTAGGTACTGGGAAGCTAGGTCAGATGGAATGGGCCGGGCAGCAGCCCTTCCTGTGCAACAGCAGAGGCTGGGGGAGCAGGGCTTAGTGTTCTATGGTGGCTGGAGGGGCGAAGTGGGGGATGAGAGCAGGAGGGCTGGAGATTGGGGACTTCAGGACTGGGGCTAAGAATCTGAAGAAGTGGACGCTGGAAGAGTGAGGGCTTGGGGTTTTGAGGGCTGGGAATGGGGGTGAGAAATGAGGGCACAGAAGATTGGGAGCTAAGGAATAGTGCCTGGAATTCTGAGGATCAGGACGGGGGTGGAGGGGGAGGTTGAGGACTTGGGATATTAGGGGAGTTAGGGACTAAAGGTTAAGAACTAGGGTTTTGTGGGGCTAGGGTATCAGAACCTGATAAGAGGTTGAGGTGTTTTGGGGGCTGAGGAGCTAGGGGGCCAGTGGAGGTGGGGAAACATACCCTTGGAGACAGGGCGAGGTGTGCATGGGTGGACGGAGGACGTGCAGAAGGTCCCAGGCCGGGCCTCCTCAGCCCCTATGCCCAGCTGGGGCCACTAGGGCAGGCAGCAGGCTTCTCCTTTTGGGCTGTCATAGTGGGTTAGACTCGAGGAATTGGTTCTCTGGATCATCTCCTGGGAGCCAGCCCCTCCTGGCAGCTTTGTTTGGCGAAAGCACAGGGATTAGTGGGGCTGCCCCCACACCACCTCCCAACCGCCAGCTCCTGGCGCTTTCATCCCTGAAGGTCGCTAAAGCTGCAGTGCTTTGAGATTAGGCCCCACAAAGGGGCCCCTTGTGCTCTAGCCAAGCCTTGGGGGCAGGGAGGGGAGAGGGTCCCGAGAATTCAGTGCAGGCTGAGCCCCTGAGACAAATCCTTCTCTCATTCCCAGCACATCGAGCAGGGTCCTCCTGGCAAAGGCTGGAGACCCCTCCCATCTCCATGCACCCAGCCCAGGGTAGTGACTGCCCCCAATGGAGCTTAGCCCAGGGGCATCTCAGGTTGGTGGAGGTGACCCCCAGGCCTAGCCTGCCTCCCCCAGCCTCTGGTCCTCCAGGGTGGGGAGGAGGGACAGGGAAATAGGACTGGAGCGCTGAGGGGGCCACGGCAGGTACCAGAGTAGGCCTAGGTCATAGACTAAGAAAGAACATCTGTCCAACCCACAGACTGAGCAGATGGGGAGACAACCAGGGCTGGGGACAGGAAAGGGTCTCTCTGGACCCCACTTCCTTACCTTGTTATTGTCAGATCCAGGCAGGAATGTGGGGGATCCCCCTTTTCACCAGGTATTGGAGCCCAGGCTAGGGCCAGCAGGTGTTCTCAGTGATGTGGTGATGGTATGGGGCTTCCTGCATTGAAGACAGTGAGAGTTTGAACATGTGGGTTCTGGCATAAAGGTACCAGCTATTCTGCCATATAAGGGCACTAAGGAAAAACTATCCACTGCTGTCAGCATCATTTCATAAAAGAAAGGATATTTTAACATCAAAAGTTGAAAAGACATAATCTCAAAATAGAGAGGATAGAGCTTTGGGTTGAATTGCTGTAGTTTTGTGAACAGTTTCCTACAAACACATTATTTTTCTCTTTCTAGGATGTTTAGGTGAAATGTCCTAGAAAGGCCAGGTTTCCTGGGATGCGGTCCCTGCCCCAAGGATGTGCTATCAGGCCTGTATGCCCAGGCTTCTTCTTGATCTCCCACGCCGGGGGCCACAGTTGTTTCAGGTCTGCGCTGCAGAGGCTAGGGGAAAGGGCCCCTGAGACTGGGCTGCTTCTCTGGGGCTCTGCGGAGAGCAGTCTTCTCCTTTGCCCCCTCATTGCTGAGGAGACTCACAAGGAGGAGGGGGAGGAAGCAGGCCTGACTGCGGGTCGATAGAGGAAAATTTCTTCCTGTCCTCTTGCTCATAAAATGTTTGTGGTCAACATATTGCACAACATTCCCAGAGAGGCCACAAAAGGCAGTGCTGGGCTGGCAGGGTCAAATGGAGCTCATGAACTCTAGCCCCTCTGCCTTGCCTCTTGCTGGGGGCCAGGATTCCGGAGGCGCCTGGGGTGATTGAGGTGGTGGCCGTGGGCCTCTGGGGCTAGCTGGAGGAACATAGAAGGTGCTCAATAAATCTCTTTCAAGAAAGTATCCATAGACTGTCAATGAGCGGTAGGAAATGATAGTATTAGCTGACACTTCCGTGGCATTGACCCCACATTAGGCACTGTGTTAAATGTTAACGCATTTAATTCTTACACTAACCCAGGGGGAAGTACTATTATTTCCCTATTTTACAAATAAGAAAATCAATATTGACACAAGTAAGTTAAGTGACTTGCCCAAGGCCACACAGCTAGTAAGTGGCAGAGCCTGGACTTGAACCCAGGCAGTCTGGCTCCAGAGTCATGCACTGAATTACTGTGCAATAGTGTGATCCTGAACAAGGGTGACCGCTGAGTCCCTGACATCACCTGGTCATGCTCTCCCTACTTCAGGATACTCCATGGTTTTCCTGGGGTTTGGAGCCATCAGGAGGTGCTCGCCATCTTGCAGACACTGCGGGAAGGAGACTCCTCTTGCCTAGTTGTGGTGGTTTAAAAACAAGCCTGCAAATTGATACTTTTTCCTTTGGGTGGTGGAGCTTAACTCTCCTCTTTGTGAGTATGGGCTGGACTTAGTGACTTGCTTATAATAACTAGAATATGGCAGAAGTGATGGGGTGTCACTTTTGAGATTAGCTTATAAAAAGCTAATCTGTTTGACCTCTCTCTCTGGTTTTCTCTCTTGCAGCCCAGACCCCCTATAAGGAAGCTGAGTCTACCTGCTGCAGAGGCCTCCGGGAGGAGAGCTGAGGACAAGCTGACAACCACATAACTGCATCATGTGAAGAACTTTCTTGAATGAGGAGCTGCCAGCTCCGTTCAAGATGGCAGATTATTGATATAAGAAATGTTTGTTTTAAGGTCTCCCTGGTGGCACAGGGGTTAAGTCTCGGTGCTATCAAGCTATTGCCTGTCACTGTGGCGTGGGGGCATAAGATCGATCCCCTGCCAGGGAGCTAAGCCACATGGCACAGCAGACCTCTACTGTCTTGCCCGCTGCTCCCATCAGCAGTGTATTTCAGTAGATCTGCCTGTTCTGCTCCCCACTCTGTCTCTGGTGAATCCTCTCACCCCCTTGTACCTCTGGTCTACACCCCAGCACTTGTATGCATAAATAAATAAATCTTTTTTGGGCCTCTCTGGTGGCACAAGGGGCTAAGACACAACCTATGAAGCTGTCCACAGCCACTGCAGCACGAATTCGATCCCCGGCTAGGGAGCAACCCACATGGCACAGCAGACCTCTCCTGACTCGCCCGCTCCTCCCCTCAGCAGTATATTTCAGTCAATCCACCTGTTCTGTACCCTACTCT